AGTGCATCAATAATATGTAAAAAAAAAAAATTCTTTGATTTCACATTTTACTGTTAGTAAAACACTTTTTAATGTCCATTTTATGGCATGTTATAGAATATTACTGGTGCAAGTCTTCACTTTTGATTCAAACGCATGCATTTTTTGCATGTGTAAGATTCACATATAAATTCAGAATAATGAAATATTTTGTAATTTTGAAAGTAGAAATTTAATACAAGTTTAAAATTGAGTAGCAGTTTTCAGAAGATAATTTTGATTTGGTTAGGTTTGAAACCATTTGTGTGGCTGTTCATGGTTGACACTATTAAAACTAGCACTTTTCCATTATTGCTCATTACTGAGATTTGGATTAGATTATGATATGTTTTGAATAAACTAATTTATAATAACCCATTGGATATTGAACTGACAGGTTGGGGAAGTACTTTCAATTTCAATTTTTTTTTTAATTTACTGTTTACTTCAGAAGTCTAGACTGTTATGATATTTATTTTCCATAAACAATTAATATCTTGCTATAATAGAGCATGTGTACATTTTAATTTGTTGTAAAGTTTGGGACATCAGAACAGGTTAGTGAAGATTTGGCACACACAGGTTCATCTGCTTGACCAACAAGCACTCAAAATATTGACCCTTTTTAAATTGCCTGAAACCCCCACTGGCTCAGCAGTAGGTTTGAGAGCTTACATACTAAAGATAGGGGTTTAATCCCTGCAGTGGGCACAGTGCCGATAGTCCATTATGCAGTTTTGAGCTTAAAAACAAACAATTTCTATATGCTTACTTATGTATTATTGCAAGATGAAAACAAGAAATATCAAATTGCAGTGATGGAAAGATAAAAAAGAAATTAAGTGTAGTGAATGTAAAAGTTGTAATACATTTCAAAGTAAAATATATTTCAAGTATTCTTATTTAAGGTCATAAAATTAACAGTTGGTTCTTGAGCTTGAGAATGTGGAATACTTCTTTTTTCTTCCTTTTTGATTAGTGACAATGATATTGTTCTTTAGAATAAGCATTAAATTACACAAATATTTATGGTACGTGAAAGAGCCTTCGGGTGACCTTTGAAGACGATCACTTAGTAACGAAGCAAGTAAAATAAAAGAAAGGCTGGTTATAGGTTAGTTGTTGGTTTTGGTAATTTTTGTCTGATGATGATTTTTTTTACATTGTACATGACCCAAAACATTTATTTTTAATTGTTAGATATACTTAGTAGTGTTTATTGTTTATGCTTAAGTACTTGCAGAATATCATGCCTTATTTTTGGGAAATTTGTATTTTCAACAGATCTTGTAGGCGAGTAGACATTACAAAGACTTCCCCAGGAAAGAAGTACAGACAAGAAAAAACTCACTATCAGCTAGCTGAGATTATTCCTCAAGTTTTTCATCATTATCAGGTAGGGCAGATTTTGCAAGATCTATATGTATTAACTTTAACTTCAATAAAGGGCTCTTTCAAGTTCAAGTTAAAATTTTTATCTCTCCATGTATCACTTCCTCTTTAACAAAGTGCTATTGGTTCCAATTGCCATGAATACAATCTAGAAGAGATCTGGACAGGGTTTAAGGAAAAAATTAAAATATTCTGTGAATTTTGAACATTTTATAGACCATATTATAATTTGTAGTTTTATGCTTATTTTCATTGAAATGTAGTATAATAACTGTGGATTAAACATTACAGTATTTTTGTAAAATTTCAGCCACTGGTATTAAGTCATATAAAATTAATATTGGTAATACACAAATGTATAATATAGATACCTATTATAGTATAGGGGTCTGCAGTGGCATTAAGCAGTCTTGAACAATCCGCTCTGGTTCATGCA